AATTAATTAAAATGAACTTGGCCCTAAATTTACTGCAAACCATCCAAAAGTTATTTATACAAGTAGAGCAATAAGTTCTTTAATTTCTAGGTCTTTATCCATAAATACATTAAATATCAAACAAGGCACTAATAGCTTATTAGTATTATATACTGTAATAGTTTAATTTTTATTTGAAAATTTTTTCTTGAGAAGTTCTTCTATTATATTAAATTTTCGTACTTTACTCTTCAGAATATGTTTCGAAAGTGTATGGATTCGATATGCCATGGGACCATAGTAAAATATCGTGAGCTTTTTTAAGAAATATATTGAGTATTGAGTTTCAAATAATTTCTATAATTAATATTTTAGTTCAAATACAAATTCAACCATTCATCTTCAAATAATCAACTTCTATCTACCGTACTTATTTCAGCTGAAAATTCAAAAAACGTAATATAGAAGCCGAAGTAAAACCCAAGTCAATTATAAGTAAATATTTGTTAAAATTGCTTAAATTTAATATCGATATTTTCCAAAGAAATATAGAAAAGCTACATTAAAGCTGCTAATGATATTTGAATCTGTAAATATATAAAGTCATTAGCTTGTCAAATATTACAAATTTACAAAAGTCTTTTAAATAAAATAAAATTGAACTATTGTCATTGACAATTAATTTTAAACAAATTTAGGATTATATTGTTACCAATTTTTTAAATTGTTATTCATTCAAATATAAATTGAGTTTCTATTTATCACTGAAAAAAAATGGCGTTTAAAAATTTTCATATTCAGAATTAACGAAAAAATATTTCAGGAATCAATAGATGATTATTTTTTTTGCGAATGTCTTTAAAATCGTATTTACTATATGAAGAAAAACATCAGTAACGAATATATCAAATATAAGAAGTTTAACTTCATAACGAAATCCTTGCTAAAAAAAAAAAATATTCAAACATTATCTTTAATGTTGGGCACAGTTAATGTAAACTGTTGTTCTCGTTGATACTTATGAACCTTTTAATTTTATTTGTTTTAAAAGTACTAATACATAACAGTAATAGCATGACTAGAGTAACCTTTTTTTTAAAAAGATAAAAAAAAAAATATGAATTATTATTATAAAATTAAAGCATTAAATTTATATTATAGAAAATAATGGGGATTCAATCTTGTATATTAGTTGCGAAATCAATCGATATCGTCCAAGTCTTAATAAACAATTTAAAGCATATTAGTTAATTTAGTATGGAAATATATCAAGCTATTAATTGATGTAAATAATTACGTATTTAAGGTTGTAAAAAATCAGGAACTTTCTGATTGTATTCTATCAGAATCTTTACCAAATCGGAAGAAATAACTGAATTTCGTTCGTTATAAAAGCTCGTGGCTAATCCTTGATTACCAACTCGAGCCGTTCTATAATAGTTTAAATATCATTAATAAATTTATTTAGAATCAAAATATAACATTAAATAAAAATGAGAATATGAACCTTCCAATACGATGAACGTAATCATCAATGTTATTACAAAGGTCGTAATTAACGACATGCATTACATCTTTGATGTCAAGTCCTCGAGCTGCCACGTCGGTGGCAATTAATATGGGGGATCGTCCACTCCTAAATAAATGTGAATTATTAGCACGCTTTTAATAGCACTGAATTTATATTCGATATTTACTTAAAAGATATTAACGCATCTTCTCTTTCTATTTGTGAACGATCCCCATGAATACTGGTAGTTGGAAAATCTCTGTTGTATAGAAAGTTGTCAAGCGAGTCCGCTCCACGCTTTGTCTCAACAAATATAAGTGTTCTGGATGGCGGCTGTTTTAACAATAATTCGACAAGACAATCGCGTTTATTTTGTTCTTTAACATATATCACCTATATATAAATTGAAATTTGTATTAACAAATTCATTAAAGATATAATGATTTTCTAACTTATACCTTTTGGGTGATATCGCTTGTAGTGCCACCAACTCGACCAACTGTTAAAAATACATAATCATTTGCTAAAAAATCTTTAGCAAGCTTGCGGATAGGCTTTGGGAATGTGGCAGAATACATAAGGGTTTGTCTAGTTCCGTCATTACATAAATCTAATTGAAGAGAAAGTAAATATTATGTTGTAGCATAATTATTTGAACTAGATTAGAATCGAACCTGTATTTTCTACGATATTCCTGACAACAGTCTCAAACCCCAAATCCAACATCCGATCAGCTTCATCAAGAACAAGGTACCTTTTTAAATTTTTGTTAGACCTTTAAGAAAGTAATTTAAGTAGATGATTTCAATAAAATTAATAAACTTACTTGACCCGACGAAGACTAATAAAACCCCTTTCGAAAAAATCGATTATGCGACCTGGAGTAGCCGATAATACGTCGCAACCTTTGGCCAACTCATTCTTCTGTTCTATTATTCCACCGCCCCCATATACAACACTTTTATTTAAAGTCATTATAAATAAAAAACACAAGATGATGAAATATTATTTGCGTTTTAAAATTGAATTTTATGATATAATAAAATTTAACCAACCAAGGTCTCAACATGGTTCTATAAGTAAATCGACGACATTCATCAAATATCTGTGTGACTAATTCTCGTGTAGGGCCAAGAATTAGAACTAAAGGTTCGACTTTGAAAAAGCGTGCATCCAGTCGGGGTCGGGGTGCAGCGAGACCTTTTGCCTTTCCAAATAGTTTAGATAAAATGGGAATCAAGAATGCCGCCGTTTTACCGGAACCTATCAAATAAAATAATTAATGTGACAATGAAAAATAAATCATACAAATTCATATATACCGGTTTGAGCACAAGCCATAAGATCTTTTCCTTCAGTGATAATGGGTATAGAATATTTCTGATATATAATATTCGTTAATTATATTGTAGCGAAAGTTCTAATAAATTACGATAATTTATAAAGAAATACCTGAACCGGCGTAGGAATAGAATACCTAGCTAATCTGACAACATCTTTCATAGACGAATGAAGATTAGCCTCGTCAAACTAACATTATGATAAAGCGAAGCGATACATTATAAATCATTGCGAAAGAAGTTTCTGTGCAAAAAAGTGCAAAATTTTTTTTGCAAACTTACGGAGGATATTGGAGCTATACATTCGGGTCTAACAATGACCTTAATTTTTGCATATTTGGCAAAGTTTATTCCTGTGTGAATGTGGTTTTCTTCACCAAACAGGTCGTTTTCTAAATCATGATCTCTGGGAGCTACAGTATTGTCGTAAGCATCATTCCAGTCATATCGAGGACGAAGGGATGCCCACTTATGATTTTGATCATGGTTAAATGTTCGTCTCGAACCCCACTTTCTTTGATTATTGTTCATATTCAAGTTTTGTTTTTTTTTTTTCAAAAATAGAGACCTGTTATGAAAATGATTTTTAAGCAGTTTGTCGTCAAGATATGTCAAAGTAATAATGTAGAAAGGTTTGCTGATAACGGTTTAAATACGTAATATTTTGAAACTTCACCTTAGAAAAAAATAATTTGGAAGAAATCTTTTTTTTTTTTTTTTTGAAATGAAAAGTAAAAAAGTATATTTATATACGTTAGAAAGTATGTTAACAATCAGATAAGTTACATGATATAATCACGAGCAGGAGTTTAATTTATTTGCATTGCGAGTTTGATTGTTTGATTGATTTAATTGATTGCGAAAATTATTATCGCAATGAATTCGATATCAATAAGATTCTACATGAAATTCGTGGCACAGTTCTCTATATAATAGATCTATAGATATTGGTATTTAGTATTAAAAGGACATTATACTCGCTAACAAAATTATTTTGTAATTCATTTATGTATTAAGATAATAGAGTATTATTTAAACTTTATATATAACTTTAAACGAAAATTTTATATTTGATATTCTTCAACCTTGTATACCAATTTATCTTTATACTTTGCAACGCTCTAATTTACGCAATGTTAACATTAATTATCTTGGATACTGAAATTTTTTATGAACGCCCGTTACTCTTAAGTTGGCCTATTAATGGTAACATTTACAATGGAATGAATTATTATTAATTAACAATAATGTGAACATGAAACTATTAGAATAATCTCTTAATATCATTTCTCTTAGATGAAGTTCGAACGTTTTGATATCCAATTTCATACTTGTTTTATATTTTCCCACATATGACTTGCTTTTGATACTTAGAATACATACATAAAACGGTAAAAAGATGAGAAAATATCAATAATTTAAGAATGACAAAAGATGCTTGTTAGATGATCCAACAATAAATCCAGCACACACACACCTTGGACGTGTATAATGACTTCGCAAAAAGAACCATTCCGAATAATTAATTAATGTCTTTTTTGGAATGGTTACAGTGGACGTGACATACTGTATTTCGATTAGAAAACATTACTGCTAAAATAAAGAATTTTGAAAGGCCCGATGTAAAAAAATGTTGTTAGATGATAATAATATTAAAAACCTCAAAGATTAAATATTTGATGAAATTTCATTTATTTGATTTGTTATTTCAACCTCTTGTATTCTATCATCATTTTCATCTTCTAAATCAATTAATTCATTTGCAATTGCAAAATCAATTTCTAAATTTTTTGAAATTTATTTGACTCTTTTTTTTTGGAAACAGAATAAAAGTTTGTGATACTTTTTTTTTAAACATGAAAACCTGATAGTCATTTTTTTGAAGGACAAGATCCAGGGTATTCACAAAATTTACACATAATCTCGTTAATTATGTTATAAAATCGAATCTTTTATCAATTCGATTTTTTAATTTTATTTTAATTATATTTATTAGGATCCGGTTCCTATAAAACAAATGTTTTACCTTTTTTTACCACTATTTTCGAAACAATTAAATAAATTAAAAGATAATGTGAGAAATAAGAGCGCCTAAAATTATATAAAACGCTTTTTTATAATTTTTTTAGTTTTTTTTTATTAGCGTGGTTTATTTTGGAAAATTTATCGGTCTACATGTTCTCAATTTAACTATCAACCACTGCCTATTTTCTTTCGAATGTTAGTTGTATGTGCGCACCGAAATTCATCAGGTTGACAGACCTAAAAAGTCATTATCAACTTTTTTTGGTGCCTAATTTCTAGACTTTTAACAAGTATCTTTTCCCGTTATGAAACTTTGTTGCATCTCACTATTAATAATATTCCTTTAAATGAATAACTATGATTTATTTCAATATACAATAAGTTATAGGAAGGTATTTTTTTTATGAATATCTTATCAATCAATATGCATGTTTATTTATTTATATTAATTATTTATTACCTGTTGTTCTAACCGCAAAAAATAGATATAAGATTTTTGATCGACAAAATTTGTTCCAAAGCGGAAATGGTAACACACCACAAAGGTTATTTATACGGGTAATCTAAAGGTCTTCGTTGACACCATTATAATATAAGTGTGAACCATAAGGAGCATCTCGTTGAATCAAGATTCTCAATGTATTATAAAATATAAAGTAGCGATTAAATTATTTTCTTGATAATTTGGGGAGTTCATGCTTATGCTATTTGCCAGGCATCAAAAACCAGATTTCTAAGTTATATCTTAAGTATATTCTTTAATTTTATTTTTTCCCAATTTCTCATTTAGATATAGCATCATTGAGTTCTTCTTTATATTGTTTAGCAGCATTTGATACATACACTGCCTTTGAAAAGAATTCTAATGTTGGAAAATATAACAATGATATCCATGATTTAAAAAATAATGTTTTATTATGCTGGAATATTGTGTTTCCAAGTTAAGAATATTTACATCGTCTTTAGAGGTAGCCCTAAAATCAATCTGACCACGACGGACGCTTTTCCACGAATAGCAAATTTTGTGTCGTTCTAAACAAATATGGTTATGGTTAGTATATGAATGTGTTGGCCTTGCCTGCATTTGATAAATGACAATACCTTTTTTATTTAATAACTCCTGAGCGTTGTAATATTCAGGATCAGGATTTGACCAGTAAAAAGGGTAAAAACCATAGTCGACGGCAACGCCAACTTACAGTATATGCAAGAGGACCAATATCAACAGCCATTAACTAGGAAGAGACTAAGGATGTTTCAATATATAATTTCAGGACCATTGGTTCTAAATAAAATGAAGGGGCGATGAACCATTATTAAATGATTCGTTGGATATGGTTGTCCATATCCTTTCGTGGCGGTTGTTCGAAACGAACTCAAAATCATCGTGGTGGTCGCACCGTAATCGAATTAATTCTAAGCAGCGTCTTGTGACCATTCGAAAGCGGGAGGTGCAGGAAGAAAGTGAAAGGGATAGAACACAAAAAAAAATAGAAGAATAAGGAGGAGAAGAAACAAAGAATGTAGGAATATAAATTTCATTTGCATTTATTTTTCTTTTCTTTTTCTTTTGATCATTAAGTATTAAAAAAATCCTAGAATTACTATTATCAAAAGAATTTGCATTTTTTACATGTTGAAAGGTTTCTGGGAATAAATTATTATGAGTAAAAAATACCAATGAATGTCTAACGCCAAGGTTCCTATGTACTAGTAAGTTTGATCTAAATGCCAAAATATTTCTGGGTTTCAATTTTACCTGTACTTTAAGTTGTGAAAATATTAGATCTCCCCCTTCTCACTCTCCTAAAAGTACAAGCTAGCAAAACCCATATTTGTCATCATGGCAGTCTATATGATAGCCACAAAGGGTATTAAAATTTATTGCACACATTTCAAATACCTTGAATATCTTTTTTACCTACATTATAATAATAAGCATTGACAAGATACATTTGATAAAAAATAATATTCTTTAAATAATTTACCTGATCTGGAAAACAAAGATTACTTAAATTATTAAATATATATGGATAATAAAATGCCATTATATCTGAAATATAATCTGCCAATTCATTGACATCATATAACATTTTGTTGACGCAACTATCAATTATTGAAATATATATATTAAAAATAAAAGTATTTAAAATAATAATAAACAATAGTAAAAATTAATTACTTACCATGAATGATTCTCAATATAGCCATTCGTATTATTATAGATATAATCCAAGGATTGATACATCAACTTATTATTGTTTCTGTAAATGCTGAAATGTTGCGTAAATAGTTGTGTGGTTTCTGATGATGACACTGCTGCTGATGATGATAGCGCTGCTGATATTAGCGCTGCTGCTGATGATGATGATAGTACTGCTGATATTGGCGCTGCTGCTGATGATAATGCCACTGCTGCTGATATTGGCGTTACTACTGATGATGATACCGCTACTAATATTGGCACTGCTACTGCTGCTGATGATGATGATGATGATAGTGTTGTTGTTACTGATGATGTTGTTGCTAATTAAATAATAAAAGTAGTAAATTAATTAAATGCTTAAACATATATCACAAAATTAATAACATTAATACTTTTTTTGATAATATACCTGAAGGTTTATAATTAAACCCTTTAAATTTTGGAGGAGCATGAATTT